TAGACCCGATCCCTTTTTTCCAATCTCTTCCATAGCTCGGTTATGGCGGTTGGCCTCTTCGAGTTTCTTTCGTGCGTTTTTCGCATCGATGACAGTTTTAGCGATAGCAGCGGCTCCGCCCGAGAGCGAACCTAAAGCCCCTAGCGCTCCTAATAACGGTAAAAGTGGTAAAATACCGCCCGATTTTGATTCGAACGGTATAATTCTAGGTACCCTAATTTTTTTACGTCCTCCCGCTTTTCTTACAGCGGCTCTGCCAGCTCGAAGCGCTTCCAGTGCCGATCTTCTAAGCATTTTAGGGTTATCGATATGAAACAATTGTTTCTTCTTTAATGCATTGCGAACCTTTTTCACGACACCCTGTCGAAACGAAACAGAGGGACGCCGTTGTTGACCCATACCGAGCTTACGTTTAGTTTTCATAGTCGCGGTGACAAAGAATGCGGCAGCTTTTTCACCAAACTTTGCGTCTTTAGATTTTACTCGCTGCCACGCACGCGTTTCCAATTCTTTATCCGCTTTATGACGTTCGTCTAACGATTTGTTTTGCGAATAGGCAATGTCGTGTACCTTACACGCAGCGTCCAAAGGATTCACCGCGCTATCGCATCGGTTCAAGCGTTTTTCCAATTTTGTACCGGGACCGCAAAACTGGTAACCCGGAATGTGTACTTCAAAAGGTAACTTGTTAATAAGCGTGTTAACGAGACCACTTCCGGACGCGAAGCATAACATACTAATTAAAGGAAATTGCTTGTGTCGTATATATATACGAGGTGTCTCGAATAAACATTGTAGTCATGCGGGTGGTGCAGCAGAAACTCAAGCTCCCCATCGATAATTTAGATTTGGTTTGCGGAGATGGTTTCTTTAACAAAAGCAAACACGGTCAACTGCTACCCAATTCATTTAGGGCGGTGTTTTGCGGACCTAGCGGTTGCGGCAAAACCAACACCATGTTAGCGCTACTCTTTAACCCCAACGGGGCAAGTTTCGAAAATGTTTACGTCTACTCAAAGTCGTTGTATCAACCAAAATATCAACTGTTATCTCGCGTATTGAGCAATGTCAAAGGAGTTGGATATTATCCTTACAGTGAAAGAGACTCGATAATCGACCCCAGCGACGCGAAAGAGAATTCTCTGTTTATTTTCGACGACGTGGCGTGCGACAAGCAAGATAAAATTCGCGAGTATTTTTCGATGTGCCGACACAAGGCCATCGACGCTATTTATCTCTGTCAGACATACTCCAAGGTACCCAAGCAATTGATACGTGACAATTGCAATATTGTCGCGTTGTTTAAACAGGATGACATGAATTTACGTCACGTTTATGATGAACATGTCTCACCCGACGTTTCATACGACACGTTTAAACAAATTTGTTCCGAGTGCTGGAAAGAAAAGTACGGCTGTTTGATAATTGTCAAAGATTTCGACGTAAAAAACGGACGCTACCGCAAGGGTTTCGACAAATATATAAAAGTCGATATTTAATTGTCGATAGAAACAGTCATGAAGGCGACGTCCGCCGACATCGCCGACGCGGCGCTAAAAAAAAAAGTAAACGAGTTGTCTAGATCTATTCGAAAGAAGTATTTAACATTAAAATTGGGTAAGAGCGAAGAGGATGCGTCAATTCGGAAGCTTTTCAAACCCGTCAGCGAGCCGCTAGAACGTATAGCAAAAATAAAGCTATCACCGTCACCGGCAGAAATAAAAACTGAACGTCGAGGTGTCAAGCGGGAACACAAAAAGGAACCGAACGAAGAAACAAAAAATAAGGTTAACGTATCATTTTTGCCTATGGAAGAAATTCAGGAAACGCCGGATCCCAATAAGAGCGTTGAGATGCAAAATATCGATGAGGAGGAAGATGATGTGTTTGACACATCGAGCGTGGCCAACGCATCCCTTCAATCATACCTGGAACAATATCCAGAAATTTCCCATTCATATATTCAAAATTTATGGGTAAAATCGCCCGACACCGATATTGTTTACGGACCCGTTTACGACAAAATATCATCCAAATGGTTTCTCGGCAATAAATCGCTGGATTTTCATCAAGGATCTGGCGATATTATTGTAGACGGCGAGAGATATTCCGGTACCCGCGGCTTGTATAATTTGGTGTTTTTGAAAGATCCCATAGCATACACAAAAGACGATTTGGCACAATATAAAAAAATAATGGAGGCTACCCAGGTGCACAGGGACGCGATCGGACGTCTGAAAGGCGCATCGACTGTACCAAAATATACCAAGGTCATCCGACCCTTAATAAAATCTCAGTCGCGTTCGTACTCGTACAGCGGTCAAGGTTATAATATGCGTTATAATGACGCTCCTACTGAATATGTATACTGGGACGACGTCAATGAACTCGTAGAGCGTCTGAAATTACTAATCGCGTCGAAACACGCAGGCAACACGTCTCATGATAACGAAATAGTTTCAATCGTTGAAGAGCTAAAAGAATCAGGTTTTATACGTTAGTTTAACGATGAGTCTGGACAAGTTTGGACGTTCTAGCGCGCTGCGCTCTAAACGACCCTTCACTAATACTGTGATTAGAAGCGCCCTCGACTATATGCCAGACGGAAACGTCAATATGAACAATTTAAAAATTTGCAATGTCCAAACGCCTAGCGATGACGGTGACGTGGCTAACAAAAAATATGTGTATGAGACAAGTAATTTATTAAAAATTGCATTGAGAAAGATTATTGGACAGAAACTCGAAGCGTACACGAAAAGATTACAAATTGAAGACAAAACTAAATTCTCGCGTCTTGAAGAACAACTGAAAATGAGTAGCACTACACTCGAAAATGAAATTATGCAGTTTCGCGAAGTTTTCCACCAAAAGCTAAGCGAAATGAGCGCAAAGAAAGATTTGGAAAAGCACATGACAAAAGTCGCCGTTTTGTCACAGCAATTTCATGATATTGTAACCAAAATGGAGCGACTTACGAACGAAAATGAGAATATAATGAAGGTATTGAAACAAAGGGTTTTAAATCCTCCATCGCAACCGAACACACATTATGAATAAAGAGAAGGTACAACTGGTTCGAGAACTGCACAAGCCGGCACGCAGAAATTATGCTCGCCGCCGGACTATAATACGAGGGATGGATGACCTGTGGCAAGCGGATCTGGCCCAATTAGATCGCTACAGCAAACAAAACAGAAATTTTAAATTCGTGCTGGTTGTGATAGACTGTTTCTCAAAATATGTATGGTGTCGCCCGTTGAAAACCAAAACCGGGGTCGAAGTCGCCAAGGCGTTTTCCAAAATTCTCAAGGACGGACGGCACCCTCAAAACTTGCAAACGGATCTCGGTAAAGAATTTTACAACGACACGTTTCTGAAACTTGTGGATAAGCATAAAATTAACCACTATAGTACGTATAGCATAAAAAAGGCCTCAATTGTCGAACGGGTGATACGTACCCTCAAAGAGAAATTGTTTCGACATTTTTCTTTACGCGGGACGTACAAATGGATCGATGTGCTCGCCTCTATCGTTGATGAATACAATAACACAAAACATAGAACGACGGGTACGAAACCCATCGATGTGAGTAAGAGCAACGAAAAGAGAATTTTGAAAACCGCGTATAGTAGCATAAAAATATTCGGTCCTCGTAAACTTAAAGTCGGCGACATCGTTAGAATCAGCAAAGTCAAGCACGTTTTCAACAAAGGTTATACACCGAATTGGACCACGGAATTGTTTAAAATTGTTAAAGTACGGGTTACTAACCCCGTAACGTATTTGCTTCAAGATATGCAGGGTAAACCCATAATGGGCGGATTTTATGAAGAAGAATTGCAGAAGACAGTTAACCCGGACTTATATCTCGTCGAAAAGGTGTTGCGCAGACGAGGCAATATGGTTCTCGTGCGCTGGTTGGGATTGGATAAGTCGCACGATTCGTGGGTAGACAACGTAGACGTTTTGAAATAAATTTAGTCTCGATTTAGAAGTTCTGACATAAATACGTGTATATGATGGCTCAAGAGAAAATTGTGACATCCAACGAATTGTATAATTTATTGGAAAATTTCGAGTTGCAATTTCCTTCATCAGAAGTGCTCCCGTCCAGCTTCGTTCCTGTAGAGCAACAAACCAAAAAATCTGCGACCAAACGAAAACAAAGTGCGTCGGTCGTATCCCGCAAGAAGAAGAAGAAAACTACCACAAGTGAAGCGTTTGCAGCTCCAACGTCATCCGCTGATTGGCTCGAAGTGTTCACGGACGGTAGAGAAAAAAGTGTCATTTGTGAGGCATTCAATTTAAAAAGAAACTTGGCGTCTCAGTTGTCGGGATTAGAGTGCAATATCAACGAAATTGAAACACAAATTGCGCTTTTTAATACAGACTTGCAAGTGGCGCGGATGCAAGCTCAAGAGTGCAAAAGAAAACTAGAACAATTTAATAATTTAGCATTTAACGAAATTGTAAAATAGTAATAATGTATATAATAAATAAATTATACAATTACAAACTTCTGTGTAATTATTATGCGGTGTTGTGGTGGTGGTAAAAAAGAAAATAGCGTCTAAATATATACATGTTTATTCTTGTTGCAATACAATGGAATACAATCAATACATAAAAGTCTTATCTACAGTTACATATGTTATAATAAAACCACAGTATTAATAGTTCAATGGACTATCAGAAAAGCGTAACTTTTTTCCATATTTCCTCTCATTGTGAAGCATTAAATTACATTCATCTTCAGTTTCTACAGTGAACAAAACTTCTTCAAAGCAGCTTTGACACCAAAATTGTTTATCGTGATATACATCATTCAAATTATTTATATCCAGCTGTAAATGATAGTGATCCAATAAAAGTCTAAAATTTTTCTTTTTAAATTTTTTAACTACTTGAAATATAAAGTGACAAGATTTACAAACTAAAATTTCCGAATATTTTATCCTGTAATAACTGACCCATAAACAGTAAGCGGATTCTAAGTCAAAATCAATGGTTGGAGTTGCCAAAATGCTATTTCTGTAAGACGATCCAAATCTCTTATTCAACAGAATGAATTCTAAATTTAATAAAGAATTGCCATCAGACTGGAGCGCTAGTTGTTTAAGGTACCTCCATCTATATTTCGAATAATATTTAAATATTAGTATCGTTAGTTTCCAAGGCAAAGGTGACTCACGCAAAAAATCAGCACTACACCTAATATTTTCGCAAATTGTTATAATACAAAGGCTTTCTAATGTAAGTTGTTTGACCATAATCTGTAACAAAAATATATTAAAAAATAATTACGGCACTTTATAATGTCCCCACGGAAGCGTTTCATATGAATTCGGCAAAAGATAACGTTTATCGTCTAAAGGACTCAAGGCAACTTTTGTTTGTTCGATGCTAAATACATTGTGAGTGTATGAACGAATGGTTCGTTGAGTGGCGTACTTTTCCCTAAAATTTGTTAAGCATTCTACGTAGTCATCAAATGAAATTTTATTTTTTACAATATTGTACTGAATACCCTTTGACTTTTTAACTACCGAACCCGTTAAAATTTTGAAAGTATACATTTTCGACCTTAACCCAGCATAATGACTAATGATGGTGCCATTAGTCTCATCCTTCATCAACCCCAAAACCTTTTTGTTGATTTGCGGTATATTATAGGGATTGTCATTAGGATAATCAGACGTGTCAAATTTTGTTAAATCGGCCTTAATAACGCTTTCATATGCGTCATAACATTTGATATTATAAATGAAACTGTCCGTATCCATGTATTGAATTTTACATTTTTCGGGACCCAAATTTGGAAGCATGTAATTATAATGAAACTCGTACATGGTCGTTTTCGACAAATCCAATATGGACATTCCAATATAAAGTGGCTTATTAAAGCAAAGTTCCGATTTTTTTAATTCTATAAGCAACAAATTGTTATCAAGTATGGTTCTACTGTGAAATCTAGGACTAGAAATTAAATTTTTCGCACCGTAGCGACCATCCCACGCTTTAACAAATTTAACAATACGATGCTTGCGAATGTTTTCCATTGTTTTACCGTAAGCGGCATTATTAAACAATTTGTATAAATTTATACCAAATTTTGTCTTTGCTTGGGTTCTTAATTTATTATTATGATCGATATAACATTTCAACCAACGAGATTGGTTAAATTTTAATATTTTGTGAATTTTCTTTAGTACGAGACCGTTTTTGAGAGCCTGTTTTAAATTGCGATAGTGTATGACGTATTTTTCTTTATTATACAAAGTAGTCATTAGTTTTGGTAACTTTGAATTGGGGGGCACTCGATGTTCGGCACAAAATGGAAAATCTCTATGTGTGTCATGTAATTTCTGCGGGTATTCCAGGTCTACCTCTAGGATATATCCTTGGGAAGATTCATCTGGAATGTTCATGACATTAAATGAATCAATCTCTTGATGAGACATCCAGTCGAATCCTCCGTAAGGAAGAGGCTCGCACATGGCCTTGCCATAGAGGTTATTGACGTCAAAGTACATGATATAGGAATCATCCCTGGATGAATCGTAGTTGGGCATATATTTATTGTTGGCCTCCGCATATCTACCAACACACACCGAAATTCCACCTCGTATAGCCCGCTCGATAAACATAATTTGGTCAATGTCGCGCAAAAGTTCTAAACGACATTTTGTGAATCTAAGCATGCAATCCCATGTATACCCGGGCATACTGAAATACCACGCCGGATCCAAAACGTGTGTTGCCATACAAGTTTTTCGAAAATTTTCGAATATATCTGCCAGAAGAATAACGTCGGTTTTTAAATACAAATCTGAATACTCGCCTAAATTTTTTATTTCAAACGACTGCCAAACACTTTGTGCGTGGGAATATTTTTCTTCACTAATATTGCTTTCACTTAATTTATTATAGAATTCTTCAATCGGGGGTAAAGTTGTTTCATTTAATTTGTCTATATGGTCGATGTAATCGTAACAAAAAATACCTTTTTGCGACAGTAAATTTAATTTTGATTCGTCGAGATCGGAAAATTCTTTTCTTAAAATATATAGTTCATTTTTATCCATACTGGAAACTAAATTATCCAGAGATGCTCCCAAAAATCTAAACGAATCTATAAATCTAAATTTTATGTTATAATCAGGTTCGAAATATGTAAAAGAGATGTATTTTTCCTTATTAACCGGAACTATGGATACATAGCTTTTTTTTGCTAAAACCGGAAGCAGGAAGTGGCTATCGTATCCAGAAAGGTTCTGGAATACTACGGGCACTACAAATATTTTTTTAAAATTTAAATTACAAGCCTGATGGGCAAAACCTCTAAATTTACCAGTAAAATGATCATGGTCACGAACAATAACATCTTCTTTTAAAAAAGGTTTTTCACAAATATGACAATGACTCGACCTTTGATCTAGACTAATTTCACTATCCATTGGTATAATATCCTTAAATTTTGAACGAACAAATTTTGATAAATTAGATATTTCCTCCACGAACCAATCAATACAATCTAGACCACGATAACTTTTGAAAAATGATATTGAATCATCATAAGAACATTTAAAGTAATATGCAGCACTGTAAGCTTCGTGCTTTTGGTATTTCGAGGTTTTATCTGAAATTTTCAAATTTACTTTTCTCAATTGACTCTCAAAATCGGCGTAAATTACAAACGGAGTCCTTTGTTTATATATATGGTTTCGAAATTCAACGTAATCATATTTGGGAAAAGACACTTTATACTCATTGAAACTGGAACATATTGTTTCGTGGTCATGTAGACGAGTTTCGTTATTGAAATAATTCAAACACCTATCGCAAATGTATTTCTTGTGATTATATTTACTGAGCTGTGAGGAAACTAATCGAGACAAATTTTTAATGTAACAATAGTGATATTTTATTTCTTCATAATCATTATCTTGCGGATCAGGATCAAAATCATTAACTTTTGGATAATATTTATTTTGTATTAACAACAAATTTGAATGTTTTTCGCGTTTTTCTTTTGTTAATCGTGCAGGTAACACGGAATAAAAACTAGTTTTTTCATTTTTATTAAGCTCTAAGATATAAACATTGATGGAAATATCATTGTCTTTTTCAAATTTGCTTATTTTATTCATTTCCATAGGTGTTTGTAAATTTTCAGTTTTCAAAACACTTTTGTAGTATGGATATGAAGAGGGTAAATACTGACGAAAACGTGCTGGAAAGAGTCCGCATACAACTGACCAATAAAAACACGCTTGATCGTCATTTCTAATGTTAATACAAGCCCTTTTATTCGCAATTTCTTTAGGCAACTCAACGAAGGATGACCCGTTACCCATTTCAAATTTATTAATGTTAATCTCTAAATAAATAATATTATTTAAAGCCCACCCGGAATCACGTTCCTGAAACTCTGACATTTGATTTAAAATTTTATCTTGCACATTTTCAACAAACCAATCATTCAATTCTGTTCCTAAATCAACTACAGCATTTCCGGTACTCAGATATTTAACATCAACTTCGCCTTGGACATCATTTTTTGCCTTAATAAATTCACCGCAAAATGTGGTATTTACTTTCAGCAATAAAAATTTCTTTAAAATTTGACTAATTTTTTGTTGAAATATTGGACGAGAATCGTTTAAAAATTGAATTAAATCTTTATGAAGTAAATTAATTATGACACCAGTCTGAACTCTTCCCTGGAAACACGACGCTACCGATTCCCATACAACCATTTCATTTGTGTTTGTCTCGCGGCTACTACTTTGTAATCCCAATCCAAAATGCTTATGTTGATAATTAAGAATAATTTTTCTAATAGCTTTCAGATGTTGAATTGTAGTTTGTAATTTTCTTTTTAACCCAATAGATAAATCCTTTTCGTTAGAAACGATTTGGTTGCAAGATTCAATATTTTTATTTAGTCTCCTAAGCCACACATCACTATCTCTAAGAGTGAACTTGTCGGAAATATGCTTTTTTAATTTTTGTAAGGTTAAAATTAAGATTTGCGCTCTATGAATGATCTGCTTTACGCGCATCGTGGTTTATTAAATATATAACAGTAAATAAGACTTACCCTGTATAATATGTTGATTAATTTTGAATTATTTTGAATTTCTTTAAAGAGTTGGGCTTTCCAATATCTTTGGATCCCTCGTAGACCAGTTTGTACTGCCCCGACGCAAAGTGTTCTAGTCTCGGACGGAAAGCTTCTGTCACGCGAGTAGGAAGAAATACTACGGAATTTTCTAATTGCAGCAACACGGAATTGCCAAATTTTGTATTAACAATTTTGGCTCTAGTAATTTTAAACGGAACGCCTATCGGCAATTCATGCAGTTTGACAATCGGCTGCTCAAAATCACCTTCTGCAAGACAGGTTTGATTCAGTTGACTTAAGTCCATCTATAAATTATTATTAATTATTTTATCTCAAAATTAAAAAAATAAAAAAAACTTACGCTTAAGATTGCTGCTATTCTATTTGCGGTTACGGGTTGAGAGTACTAAGATGATCTTTAGGACCTTTATAAAATAATAACAAATGTTAAAGAATTAAAATAAGACAATAAAAAAGGTACTTACTGCTTTTTTGTACGAACACCAAACCACTAAGTTAGCTTCCACGTTGCACGAATAATACCAAAAACAACTACTGACAAAACAGAGAAAAATGAGATGTATTTATACGGTGCGAGAATACTTTCTAAAAGTTAACAAACGAAGACACCTCCACATGCGTTGCAACAAATTTTTCCCATTACGTTAATCCCACGGAGCAAATATAAAGGGGGCAATTAATTATTATTCTCAACAAGCAAAACAACTTGACATTTAGACTCGGCGCGTTTTGAAATTCCACATCCCATACGGAGATTGTAAAAAATGAAAGCAAGTTGGCCTTGATCTTTTGCGGCAACATACGTTCGTCCAACGTCCGAAACGGTTGCGTTCCCGTGTGAAAGCGTGTTGACCTTGAGACTTCTACCTGCACGGTTGTCTGGCGACAACATCGCGTCTATTCAAATCGGCGTTGGTGCTTGTGGGTAGAAGACCTTTCGACTTTTAATTCAACCATGGAAGGGAGTGCATGTATATAAATACGTTGCATGTGTATTATAGACTATATTCAGTGCAATGAATACAGAAGTGCGATGTCCATTTCCCTACGACCCTACAACTGGTAAGTTTTATATTTTAATTACCTTTATACAGTGCGCGTCTTCTCTTGTGGGTTTCAGTTTGGGTTATCACTTTTTTGGTTAGTTTCTACCTGTTTTAAAATATGATACTCATCTTTTTTACGTTGCATAATAACCGATTTAAATTGAGTGTTTTTAATAGCTTTTAAATGACAGTGAATGGAAAAGGGAATTTTGGCTTTTAAAAAATAAACAATTTTTAAATTTGTTTCAAAAATGTTTTATTTTTTGTACTAAAAAATTGCAGTTTGCCTTTTTGACAATAATAATCGAATTAAATTGAGCGTTTTTAATATCTTTTAAATGACAGTGAATAGGGAATTTTGGCTTTTAAAAAATAAACAATTTTTAAAATTACTGAAAGTTTTGTTTCAAAAATGTGCGTTTTATGGGGAAAACGCGAAATATATACATATTTTTGTTTATTTTTTGTACTAAAAAATTGCAGTTTGCCCTTTTGACAATAATACACTTACATTTAAATGACAGTGAATTGAAACGTGAATTTTAGTATGCGCGTATAACTTAAAAAACAATTTTTAAAATTATTTGATAACCCCCCTTTTTGGAAGTTTTGTTTAAAAAAAAATGTGTGTTTTATAGGAAACGCTACATATCATACTTTGTTTTGTTCTAGAAAAAATCGCGGTTTGTCCGTATGACAAGTCGCATATTATGTTGGCGCATCGCTTAGGGCGTCACATATTCAAATCACACAAAGAGTACCGGGGGTTAGAATTCCCGGTACGACATGAAACGACAAGGGAACATCACCAGCAGCAGGAGCAACCCGGTGGATCAAAAGAAACAAAGGAGCAGCAGGAGTACCCGGGTGGGTGGTCGACGGAGTGGGACGGCGAGGAGTGCACTTCGTATTTAGATTTCCTCCGGGAACGGGAAGAAGAACAACGCAAGGAACAGGAACAATGGGATGGTCGACTGAATCGACATAAAAAGAAGAAGAAACTCCTCGCCAGACCAATTTTATAAATAAAATAAAATAAAATATATGAAAATTCAAGTTTATTTAATTATCCTCCCGATCCACCGCGTCACCGCGCCGCACCGTCACCGCCCTCTACCGGGGGGGCCTACGACGGTCGGAGCGCGCGACATCTAGCAGCGACGGGCGGAACCGGGGCAAAACAGGACGCTACACAAGCTGGCGACACAAGCGCGCGACATCTAGCAGCGACGGGCGGAACCGGGGCAAAACAGGACGCTACACAAGCTGGGTGGGGGGCGGAGCGCACTCTGGTAGACAGGGGGGACACTAGGACGCCACGCGCGGGGGGGTTAGGAAATTGAGGTTATGTACGGTTTCTGTTGCTTATATCGGCACTATACATCTACTCCAATTATTTGTCCCAAAAGAAGGTGCTTTAAGTATATATCTGCATTTCTAAGGTAGATTTGGGTACAATAAGAGGCGAAAAAGCAGATTCTGACTAAGATTTTATCGAAATCGGCAACTATTTGACTCAGAATGGTTGCCTTACGTCGAAATCTAATAGTTTATTAAGGTTTTCGTTACTAAAATGCCCAAAGACGCCGATTTTGACTAGAATTTGAATGATATTGACATGAATATATAACTGTTTGTATCAAAAAATGATAGTTTAAACTGATATTTGCAGTTTTGATGCGGTTTTAGGTACGATATGAGTCGAAGAAGCCGATTTTGACTGAAATCTGTTTAAAATGACAAAGAAAAACCTATTATCAATTCAAGGAAGTGAATTTTTAAGTAGTTATCTGCAGTTTTAATGTAGATTTCAGTTCGCTAAGTTATGAAAATGCATGTTTTGGCTATAATCTTCCGTAAATCAAGGGCGAAAAAAAATTATTTGTCCCAAAAGAAGGTGTTTTAAGTATATATCTGCATTTCTAAGGTAGATTTGGGTACAATAAGAGGCGAAAAAGCAGATTCTGACTAAGATTTTATCGAAATCGGCAACTATTTGACTCAGAATGGTGGCCTTACGTCGAAATCTAATAGTTTATTAAGGTTTTCGTTACTAAAATGCCCAAAGACGCCGATTTTGACTAGAATTTGAATGATATTGACATGAATATATAACTGTTTGTATCAAAAAAATGATAGTTTAAACTGATATTTGCAGTTTTGATGCGGTTTTAGGTACGATATGAGTCGAAGAAGCTGATTTTGACTGGAATCTGTTTAAAATGACAAAGAAAAACCTATTATCAATTCAAGGAAGTGAATTTTTAAGTAGTTATCTGCAGTTTTAATGTAGATTTCAGTTCGCTAAGTTATGAAAATGCATGTTTTGGCTATAATCTTCCGTAAATCAAGGGCGAAAACCAATTATTTGTCCCAAAAGAAGGTGTTTTAAGTATATATCTGCATTTCTAAGGTAGATTTGGGTACAATAAGAGGCGAAAAAGCAGATTCTGACTAAGATTTTATCGAAATCGGCAACTATTTGACTCAGAAAGGTTGTCTTACGTCGAAATCTAATAGTTTATTAAGGTTTTCGTTACTAAAATGCCCAAAGACGCCGATTTTGACTAGAATTTGAAAGATATTGACATGAATATATAACTGTTTGTATCAAAAAATGATAGTTTAAACTGATATTTGCAGTTTTGATGCGGTTTTAGATACGATATGAATCGAAGAAGCCGATTTTGACTGGAATCTGTTTAAAATGACAAAGAAAAACCTATTATCAATTCAAGGAAGTGAATTTTTAAGTAGTTATCTGCAGTTTTAATGTAAATTTCAGTTCGCTAAGTTATGAAAATGCATGTTTTGGCTATAATCTTCCGTAAATCAAGGGCGAAAACCAATTATTTGTCCCAAAAGAAGGTGTTTTAAGTATATATCTGCATTTCTAAGGTAGATTTGGGTACAATAAGAGGCGAAAAAGCAGATTCTGACTAAGATTTTATCGAAATCGGCAACTATTTGACTCAGAATGGTTGCCTAACGTCGAAATCTAATAGTTTATTAAGGTTTTCGTTACTAAAATGCCCAAAGACGCCGATTTTGACTAGAATTTGAAAGATATTGACATGAATATATAACTGTTTGTATCAAAAAATGATAGTTTAAACTGATATTTGCAGTTTTGATGCGGTTTTAGATACGATATGAATCGAAGAAGCCGATTTTGACTGGAATCTGTTTAAAATGACAAAGAAAAACCTATTATCAATTCAAGGAAGTGAATTTTTAAGTAGTTATCTGCAGTTTTAATGTAGATTTCAGTTCGCTAAGTTATGAAAATGCATGTTTTGGCTATAATCTTCCGTAAATCAAGGGCGAAAACTAATTATTTGTCCCAAAAGAAGGTGTTTTAAGTATATATCTGCATTTCTAAGGTAGATTTGGGTACAATAAGAGGCGAAAAAGCAGATTCTGACTAAGATTTTATCGAAATCGGCAACTATTTGACTCAGAATGGTTGCCTTACGTCGAAATCTAATAGTTTATTAAGGTTTTCGTTACTAAAATGCCCAAAGACGCCGATTTTGACTAGAATTTTAAAGATATTGACATGAATATATAACTGTGTGTATCAAAAAATGATAGTTTAAACTGATATTTGCAGTTTTGATGCGGTTTTAGGTACGATATGAGTCGAAGAAACCGATTTTGACTGGAATCTGTTTAAAATGACAAAGAAAAACCTATTATCAATTCAAGGAAGTGAATTTTTAAGTAGTTATCTGCAGTTTTAATGTAGATTTCAGTTCGCTAAGTTATGAAAATGCATGTTTTGGCTATAATCTTCCGTAAATCAAGGGCGAAAACCAATTATTTGTCCCAAAAGAAGGTGTTTTAAGTATATATCTGCATTTCTAAGGTAGATTTGGGTACAATAAGAGGCGAAAAAGCAGATTCTGACTAAGATTTTATCGAAATCGGCAACTATTTGACTCAGAAAGGTTGCCTTACGTCGAAATCTAATAGTTTATTAAGGTTTTCGTTACTAAAATGCCCAAAGACGCCGATTTTGACTAGAATTTGAAAGATATTGACATGAATATATAACTGTTTGTATCAAAAAATGATAGTTTAAACTGATATTTGCAGTTTTGATGCGGTTTAGATACGATATGAATCGAAGAAGCTGATTTTGACTGGAATCTGTTTAAAATGACAAAGAAAAACCTATTATCAATTCAAGGAAGTGAATTTTTAAGTAGTTATCTGCAGTTTTAATGTAGATTTCAGTTCGCTAAGTTATGAAAATGCATGTTTTGGCTCTAATCTTAAGTAAATCAAGGGCGAAAACCAATTATTTGTCCCAAAAGAAGGTGTTTTAAGTATATATCTGCATTTCTAAGGTAGATTTGGGTACAATAAGAGGCGAAAAAGCAGATTCTGACTAAGATTTTATCGAAATCGGCAACTATTTGACTCAGAATGGTTGCCTTACGTCGAAATCTAATAGTTTATTAAGGTTTTCGTTACTAAAATGCCCAAAGACGCCGATTTTGACTAGAATTTGAAAGATATTGACATGAATATATAACTGTTTGTATCAAAAAATGATAGTTTAAACTGATATTTGCAGTTTTGATGCGGTTTTAGGTACGATATGAGTCGAAGAAGCCGATTTTGACTGGAATCTGTTTAAAATGACAAAGAAAAACCTATTATCAATTCAAGGAAGTGAATTTTTAAGTAGTTATCTGCAGTTTTAATGTAGATTTCAGTTCGCTAAGTTATGAAAATGCATGTTTTGGCTATAATATTCCGTAAATTAAGGGCGAAAACCAATTATTTGTCCCAAAAGAAGGTGTTTTAAGTATATAT